TCTAGCAGCCCAACCACTGTGAAAATTATTTGGTTTGTGGGTGGTCATAGATTTTTTAAAAAATTCTTCCTTGGATAACTTAGAGAATATTGGTATTTGACATAGGGGAACCATCATAGGCGAATACTTTAAGTGTAGCCATTGAAAGTCATGAGAGCTTTAGACAATCATTGTGAGGGGAAAAAATGTGAAGATGACATTGAAGGCACCTTGATAAACATTCCCAACGTAACTATGCACAGAAGAGTTTTCTAAAGCAATACTATTTCCTGAAGAAGCATGGATGGTGAGCAGTTAAAAATAATTCACTATGAGTGTGTATACCCTTGGTTACTCTGAGTGCTAAATTAATATGAATTAACAGCTCAGCACAAAGCCTAAATGTAGCCAGTGTTTATTAAATGATAAATGTTATTAGTAGGCATGATTCTAGATAGTGCAGATATCTGTTTCTTTGCAGGCATACTAACTGCTCTTTCTTCTAAGTAATTAAAAGTAATTATGGACAATGGTTGTGATTATGGGAAAATACACACACATTTAGCCTAAGGCTACAACATTTTATTAAAAGGCAGAGGTCCACAGATTTGTTCTACTCGTAGCAACTCTATTCTGAGTCTGAGTCTCTCTGCAACATGAAACCTGTTTTACAAGCCATGGAAAGCAATCAAAGAAGTGTGTCTTTTCTTTCAAGGTTCTGCATCAGATCCTGCATTTGCTTACACCTGAAATAGAACACAGACTGAAAAAACCAAAACAACTACAACAACAACAACAACAACAAAAAGTGCTTAAAGAAAGCCCTGGGTTTTCTGAAAGTATCTTTGAATCCAATTGCCATTAATTTAGGATATGATCTTAAGCTGCTCATATCATCCGAAATCCTTGGTTTGTAATGTTTGGATTTTCTAGATGTTAGGGACAGGAGTAGTTTTAAAAAAGTCTAAGTGTAGCATTCCTGATTCTAAACCTTTTTGCAAATTAAGGCCTCTGGCAGAGGAAGTCTTTCCATACTACAGTGTTCTATGGCAGGTGTGGCCAATGTTGCATGCCGGGTTCTCTAGGAAAACATTGATTACCAAAACAGGCAAAGAAGGACTGAGATGTTTGTAATTGCTTTGGGAGTTTCAGTTGGCTATACCTCTAAGTGGTAATGGTGAGGTCTGAGGGACAGAAAGGAAGGAACTGAATTCATATAAGACCCACACAGATTGTCTAGATTCACAGCCACTGAAAACAGATCACCTTTGAATGATTGTTTAAGCTCTTTATGAGTACATTTTTCCTTATCACGCCTCATGGCAGGTACAACTAGAAATAGTATGTGTACCATAAAATGGAAGTAATGAGTTGTCAGCAACAAAGAACACTTGTAATGTGGGGTAAATCATAACAAATAGAGCACATAGGCAGATACCAAATTTATTTAAATTAGGAGTGACTATCAGGCTTGGAATTACTTTGATTAAGAAGCTGATGTTGTTTAATTGATTTAGTTACTTAGTGAAGAAACTAAGTGAAGTGTGCACACACACACACACACATCTCAGGTCATCTTCTGAATCTAAGTGGAGAAGCTGGGATTCACAGTTGTGCTATGTCTAGGGCTAGGCCCATTCTTATGACACACTGCTGGATCATTTCCTCTTTAAACTCCTTTGAGTCTGGGTACCATTGCTAGGAGCTACTGGTAAAATGTGGTTCTGTTGCCTAGGAAGAACACTGTATTCATATGTACTCATATAAAAGATTAGCAGAAAACAAATCTTTGGGCAAAGTGGAGCACAGAGAGGGTTAAAGGTAGGAAAAGGGGGTCAGAAAGTGAAAGATGATGTGTGGGGTCTGCAGTGGGGATTAGGGGCCCATTCTTGGGATGGATTTGGAGGTGGAGAAGGGGTGGGAGAGTGGAGCTGGGTATGGTGTCACCTAAACCACAGGGGAGAGAAACTTAATGGTATGAGAGGAAACCAAGGAAGCTGAGAGGAAGGCAGTAAGAATCTTTTCAACCTCAGAGTCTACTCCTTTCTCTGAAGAAAAAAAAATTACATTTTTTCTTTTGGCCCATGCAAAGGAAGATGTCTCCTTTGAGTTAAAGATTCAACTAATATTACGTTAATGTATGTTTTGGTTTCTACTGAAGTTATGCATTGTTTTTATATATTTGTTCAACGGCTTTTAAACTTTATTGCCAGGCTTTCAGTTCTTGAAAGGAGCTCATTAGATTTTCATTAAGTCACCAGCTTTCACTCAATACTAGGGACCAAAGCCCTACTGGGCCATTCTGTAAGGCCCTTACAGATAAATCATTAACGATTTCCAGTTGAACACGCTTTAGCAGTGTCTTCTCAACCTCTCTATTACCACCACCCTAAGGAGTTTTTTTCAAATAAGTTTTCCCCAATTGCCCTTTTCCAAAAAAGTTTCAATTCCAAAGATATACTATATATTCATTTATGTAACCGTGGCCTTTTGGAGGGTCACAAACCATTGTAATATTTAAGATTCTCCCCCAGCCCAAACCAACCTTTCCTGCCTTTAAGTGGGAGACATTGCCCCTATGAAGAACACATACTTAAAAACTGCTAAACAATGATGTTGGTCCTTCCAAAATAGTGTTTTGCTCTTATAATTGCCTTATTTATTTGAACAGCTAACACTTTTCCCACTTACCATCTCCTTTCCCTAAGTAACTAGAAGTGGAGCTATTATAGGGCCGCCTCTCAGCAGGAAACACCAAGGGAATATGCTTACTATGTCTCTAACACAAATAACAGTCCCCCAGGATGTAACTACCAGTTTCAGTTGCTGGAACTGAAATGAACAATTCAGTAGTGTGTGTGTGTGTGTTTTTTTAAGTATGTTTAAAAATTCTTTTTTTTGGTGTGGGGAGGAAGAGCATCAGAATAAACAGCTAATGCACGTGGAGCTTAATACCTAGGTGATGGGTTGATAGGTGCAGCAAACCACCATCATACCCATTTACCTATGTAACAAACCTGCACGTTCTGCACATGTATCCTGCAACTTAAATAAAATTCTTTTAAAAACTTTTTTTCTGCTAACCTTGAGGAGCAAGGTTTGAACTATCCCCCTTTCAGGTGTAGAATAAACATCAGTATTGTTGTGTAGGGCACTTCTCTGCCATTGTTCATTAAATCAATGAATTATCTAACGTGGTTTTTCCAATTCTTTGCTGTGTACAGTTGTTCTGTACCTAGGATGTCTATTTTAAAAAAGGATGTTTTCTGGAAATCCTGAGTAGAAAGGCTGCCATATGTATTCATTTATTAGGACTGCCATAACAAAATATCCCAGACCAGGTGGCTTAAACAATAGAAATTTATTTCCTCGAAATTCTGGAGCCTAGAAGCCTGAAATAAAGGTGTCAGCAGAATTGGTGTCTTCTCAGAACTCTCTCCTTGGCTTGTAGATGACTATCTTCTAGTGTCTTTATATGGCCTTCCTCCCACTGTGTATGTTTGTGCCCTAATCCCCTCTTTTTAGAGGAACAAAAGTCATATTGGATTAGGGCTCATCCTAATGCTTCATTTTAACTTCATTACCTCTTTAAGGCTTGTATCCAAATATAGTCACATTCTGAGGGAGTAGGACTTCAACATATGAATTTTGAGGGGACATAATTCTGTCCATAATGTAAGACCAGGTATAAAGAAGCCTATTGCAAGCCACAAACACAGAATTTGACTAAGATGTATTTATTGGAATTCCCACTTTGTGTTTTTTACCAGCTGTATGTCTTTCAGCAACTCACTTAACTTGTCTAACTGCAATTCTAATTAAGCATATGATAGTCATCCCTGTCCCAAAAGATGGTTGTGAGAATTGTGTCTAATTAATAACTATAACTAAAAAGTGTGTGTGTGTATATATATATATGTATGTATGTGTATGTATGTCTAGGACAGCATCTAGCTTGTAGTAATTGCTCAATGGAAGGGAAATGGTTTACTACCTCTTCCTCTTGAATTTGGATCCAGACTTTAGTACATTTGGGAATTGGAAGATCGACAAGTCAGTAAATAATAGTAACATCAAGAAGGGGAAATAAATGAGCATTATTGAACTATAATATATTGAGTCCTCTTAAGCATATCATAGGCCAAAAGTTTGTTTTTTGCATGAGATCTGCATAGATTCATTCGTTCAATATTTATTGTGCATGCAATATGTACCAAATGCAGAAAGCAGTCATCTCACCTACTGTATGGAGGGCTCTTCTCATAGCTGATACTCGGTCTCCTATATTTCTTGTAATAGATTCCCTGGGATTGGGGAGTTTCTGCAAGACTCAGAATTTAAAAGGTGCTTCAAGTTGAACTACTATTATTGCAGTCAAAACTGTTTTTGCTCTCTTCAGGAACAGCCTTACCTGTGTTCAGGGACTTTTGTGTGGTATCATGCTACTGGCCCACATTACCAATTCGACTATTGCAGCAATTACATGAATGATAAAAGCCACTATGCTGTTCCTGAAGAGAATGCATTCCACAGCATTCATTAATTATCCCAGCCTGTAGATGCACAACTACCCCTGCATACACTTGAGACCACACACCATAAGGATTGAAACTCTCTCAAAGTCACAGTGACTTTGTGTTGCTTTGTACTCTTCCATTGCCCATCCTTTACAATAGCCCTTCTCCTGTCCTTCCGATTCTCAGAACTCAAAATCAGAATGAAGTAAGGCTGCGCAATGTCATTTATGGGGATGGGTTAGGCTTAAGTCTCCTGGAACCACCTTGGGTCACCCAGCTCTACGGAAGACACTCTAGATGGTCTAGACCCAAAGTCATTCTCAGCCACACAGTAGTTAAGAATTCTCCATCCTACAGTATGCCCTTCTTTAGAATAATAATCATAATGATGGGAGATGGGACACAGTGATAAATCTTTGATGTCTTTGTTCATTAGTTTCCTTATCTATCTCTCTCTCTTCTCTCTCCTCCCCTACCCCATTATTTTCTCTTTGACATAAACAGCCAACATCAGATGATCTTGTTTCATCTGCTGAATGTTCAAGTGATGATGAAGACTTCGTTGAATGTGAGCCGAGTACAGGTAGGTCAGGTCAGTCTTGTTTTGCTTGCTTTCTTTTTTCTTTTGCAAAAAACAATACATACATATATGTGATTATACATGTGTTTTATATATAGATTATAGTGTGTTAATGTGTGTATATTTTATATCTATATATGTATAAGTGTACATATATAAATACTATATCAGTGAAAGCATCAAATCCCATGGAAGGAGCAATAAGATCCTACAAAAATTTTGAGTCAGTCTCTTGATCGCTAACAAAAAAGTCATGGTAGATGACTTAACATTGGGCAAGCAGATGCCTAGATTTACCACTGCAGCAGCAAATGTGTATCAGCCAGTGGCAGCTATGAAATTCACAGAGGGTGGGAACATGAGGAAATGTATGTTGGAATGACACCAAGAAAGGACGAACCCATGGAGGAGCTTAAAGATTGGTAAGTGGAGCCATAAAGATTGGTAAATGTCACTTAAAACTCACGAATTGTTCTGAGCTAAGAGAACCAAAAATATATGTATATATATATTTTTTCCATGGGATTTCAACAGCAGTTAACATGGTATTATCTTTATACTAATTTTGTTAACTGTGTGTCTAGAAAACTTGTGCAACAATATAGTAAACACAAAATTAGTACTGTACCATGCCATGTCAACAGCTGTGATGCTTCAAAATGTATCTACTGTGCTGAAGTTGAGAAGACTTTAGCAATCAGAAGCTTCAATGTGTTCCCCATTTGGACCCAGATACATTTTGATGTTTTATGGTCTTTCTTTATAGTGAGCTATATATGAGATAATGTCCAGCAGGCAATTGCAGTCCCTGATTATTTCCTATCAACTTTTCCCAGTTGTCTGTTTTGAGACTTACTATAAGTTAAACATTTATATGTATATAATAGAGAACAGATATCATCGAATTTCTGTGTATGTTTAATAGAATTAACAGCTGGAGTTGGGCCAGGATCTTATTTCTGCAAAGACTAGAATAAATAGAATTTTCTTGTTATTTTTTGCATTGCTTTCAGATTTTTTTCCTTTTAAGAAAAGGAAAGCCATTAAAAATTCTCTTTTGCTAATTCTAGAAAATTTAAGCTTCATGAAAAAAATAATCTAATAAAAATAAAAATCTTCCATTTCTGACCCCTAAATGATTTACAAGATTTCAAATCTGTTGAAGTCTGACTGCTTTGGTTTCTTGCAAGTGGCATTGGATCCAGGAAGTTCTGTGGGTTCACACCCTTAGTATGACACAGGGACATATCATTAATATGATGGGGCTTCCATTCTGGAGTGTAATCTGTTCCACTGGGAGCTCAGCTGTGTAGAGGGAAAGTAAAATGTGATCTGGTCGGTTTTTTTTCAGATTTTTAAGTAATAATAATCTGTATGTGCTATGTGAGCACATAGCCACACATGCAACATGTACCCTAAAAGGGCAGATATATCCCAACTATACCAGAACTCAGGTGCTATGTTTTCATTAATTTATTCATTCGTTCAATAAATATTTATGAGCACTCAGGCAGGATACAATATATCTCTAGATTTGAGTCCTTCCTGTTTTTTTTTTTTTTTAGAAATTAGCTGTCAGAGAGTAGAATAGTTTTGCTGTCAGAGAGTAGAATAGTTTTGCTATCTAACTCCTAGCGTAATTCAATTCAACAGCTATTTTTGAGGGTCAACTGTATATGTTAAGCATGTGCTAGATATTAAGGGTTCATATCTTAATAGGTTACAATCCTCAAGATGTACATTAAATTAGCTTGTTTTGTGGCAAACACTTTAAGAAATCTAGGCTTTATTTATCTTTTTTTTTTTTTTTTTTTGAGATAAGGTCGCCTAGGCTGGAGTGCAGTGGTGTGTTTATAGCTCGCTGCAGCCTCAAACTCCCGGGCTCAAGTGGTCCTCCTGCCTGAGCTTCCCAAGTAGCTAGGACTACATGCACCACTATACCAGCTAATTTGTTTTATTTTCTGTACAAATGGGATGCTCATCATGTTTCTCAGGCTGGTCTTGAGCTCCAGGCCTCAAGAAACCCTCTCACTTTGACCTCCCAAGTGGTTTTCTTCCTTTCTTAGCAGTGATATCTTTATATGCAGCAATGTTTATCAAATCTGTAGGTTTTAAGGCTTGTCAAAATTGAGACTTGGTCATTCTGAAATACTATCACCATCTTTCCTCAACTACTCACCCTGCCTCAGAAAGTCATCTCCATAGCAACCTCCATAATAAAGGCAGTGGGCTTTTCCAGATCTCAGCTTCAGATCCTCCAGCCTATAGCTGCCCCACTTATAGGTATTTATTGCTATTTGTTATGAGACTTGAACAGCCTAAACCTGAATGGCCCAAAACTAAATCCATTGGTTTTCTAGAGGCCACACAGGTATTTTCTCTGATTCAAAAGCAGAGGACAGAAATTCAACACCAACATTTCTTGAATAACATGGGGTGGGTGGGGAGATCCAGTTTTTAAAACAATCTGTTATGTTCTGTAAGGGAACATGAGAGGAGATAAAGTGAGTGACAGAACCCCTACCCTGAAAGAGCGAACATGTAGCTCTAGGAGACTGATATTGATTTCCTCCCCCTGTGATTATTCAACTCATCATATTCAGAATGAGCATTGCATTTTTCTAATTTTATTTGCTCCATAAAGTGTTCCTGGTGAGTGATTGGGATATACAGGGAAATACATCAGAGGTATATTTAATATAAGAAGTAGGTAGATATTTCTAGTAATGCAGAGAGAGAAGAGGTTTGCCCAGAGGACCTGATTTCCACTAATGGGGATCACCTTCTTGGAGCTATCAAGCCCTCTTTTTCATCACATAAGAAATATCTCCTCAGGAGTTCAAGACCAGCCTGGCCAAGATGGTGAAACCCTGTCTCTACTAAAAATACAAAAAAATTAGCCAGGCGTGGTGGCAGACGCCTGTAATCCCAGCTACTCGGGAGGCTGAGGTAGAGAATTGCTTGAACCTGGGAGGCAAAGGTTGCAGGGAACCAAGATCGCGCCACTGCACTCCAGCCTGGGCAACAGAGCAAGACTCCATCTCAAAAAAAAAAAAAAAAAAAACTCCTCAGGCTTCACATTTTCCAAAAACAATACAGATTAAAATCAGAAACCAGTTTCTTGGGCAAGATTTGCACTGCCTAAAGAGAAGGGACCTACTTCCCATGCAGCAACAGATAATGGTGATATTTACATATCTTTGACATAAATTGCCAATCTTGCAATTCTATATTACCCTAATTCACTGCCTCCATTTCTAAAACATTTTTCCAGGTCTTTTGCTTAATGGAAAAACACTAAATTTGGCTAACTTCCTTGGCCTTGTTCTATCATACTTATCACTTTATCTTCTTTCACTTTGCTATCAAGTTTATTATTTTCTAGCTGTCTCCGTTTATGAGGCATTTAACTTCTACAGGTTATTTCCTGATTAATTTACATCCATTTGAAGCTCTCACTTTTCATAAATTTGAGTAGTTTAGCATATGCTATAATTCAATTTTTATTTTCATGTGAGCATCACATTTTAAATGAAATAATTTATTTTTTCTTCAAATCAAATTGGATTTTTAAACTGCTGGTTTTGAGTTAGGTGTAAGCAATCTCCTTTCACTCTCAGAACTTACTTTTGTGCTTAGGGGTCACCAAAGTTTGGTATAGCTTAATCTTATTGTATTTACGAACAACGTAAATATTTTTGGAGTTTGGTCAATAGGAGTCTAGAAATCTTGCAAATCCGATGGAAGTCAAATTTTCATGGTATATTTTTGCTGGTAAATATGTAGATTAAAAAAAAAATCCCAGCTCATGAGAGCAAGGCATAAAGTAACAGCTCAATTAGGATTTGTCAACTAAATTACTTTGAAACAGAACTTTATATCTCTAACTTCATTTCCCCTTTAACAGCTCAAATTAAACCTGTTGAATCATTTAAAATTTATCATTTCATATAATAGGGATGCCCTGACAAAACCTACATTTTTAAGAAATTTATTTTAAAATTTTTGAGACTGGGTAACAAGACTGGCTAATTTTTGTATTTTTAGTAGACACGGGGTTTTGTCATGTTGGCCAGGCTGGTCTCAAACTCCTGGGCTCAAGTGATCCACCCACTTCAGTCTCCCAAAGTGCTGGGATTACAGGCATAAGTCACCGTGCCTGGTTAAAACCTACATTTTTTTAACAATAGTATTCTCTGTTTTTTCCTATCCCTACCTTTTTCTGGGAACTATATTCTTTTATAAGTCACAGATACAATCACATTTTCTGAATATTTGCTTCAAGAACCCAGAATTGAACCTTTAAACAATAACGTTATAGTAAAACCATCTGCATCAAATGAAAATATTCAGAAGTGTATCTGAATGGCTATCTAAGGGTGAAGGTCTGGATTGTAATTCTTGATTTATGAATGTTAATTGTGTTCTTCACAAAACATATCAGTATATATTTAATACTTTTATTTAATACAAAGAACAAAGACTTGTTCTTTGCGTATAAACTGTTTCCAACTGCACTTCTGTTAATCTTAAATTGTGCAGTAAACTCATATTTCATTGTCCTTTTTATCTCTTTGAGTCCAACAAGAAAAACAGATGATCTGGAGAGCACTCAAATAACCCCTAGGAAAGGATACCCTCGTGAGATTATGGGAAGCCAAATAGCAATTAAGATCATTAGTAAATTCACATTTGTAATATAAAATGTGAGAATGAATTCTGAAATTCAGAGAAAATAACACAATTCACTTTCCATTTCTTCTCTTTCCCTCACCCCTGCTGCTATCCCTAGAATTCCCATCTTTGGAAATAGAATAATAGTGAAAACAAATATATTCTTAGATTAGGTTTTGTATAATTAGAAATGATCAACTTCCTGGATTTTACATATTTATAGTTTCAAGATTCTAAAAGTCTTGGGGGCAGGAGGCCACAGAGCAGAGCAAAAAAAAAAAAAAAAAAAAAAAAAAAAAAAAGTGATACTTTTATACTGATAAGTGGGC